ATCAATCAAAATGGTAGAAATGAGATACCCTTTCCTATGTCTTTCAGCGGGAGAATGAATAAACAAATGTGGTTCTTGCAATGGAAAACTACTCAGCAATAAAAAGGAATGCACTATTGGTACACTGTTGGGAACTGCTCTACCTGGTTTCAGGAATTGTAACTGCCTTCCATGGCTAAGGATGAGTGAGCAACCTCTGGAATGTAAGTCACAAAGAGACAAAGCTTGTCTCTGGTAGCAAACACTGCCTCTACTGACTTCCCTGTCCCCAGTGCATGGTCGATAGTCGATGATGGGTAAGACTCCTCAGAGGAGGGGCAACCTAAGCCAGACATGATCACCTGGGAGGCCATTATGGAAGTACTAGGGGGGCTGTAACAAAGAGGGAGTGACGGACCCTTACCCCCCCACCCCCAGCTATTCTGACATAGCCCAGTCCCCATGTCCTCTGGGAGAAGTGCTTCCTGACTCTAATACACTTCAGCATGAAAACCTCTGATGGGGGATGTGGTGCAGCAGCCCCTTGCCAGCTAGAGAAGAATCCAGGGTGATCTGGCATAAGAAAGAATTCTTAACAATCCTATGAAGCCTGCTTTGCTAAGAATGTTTTTAGTTAAATGATAAAGGCCCAGACAGAAAATGAGTTTGTTTTCCCAAAGTCTTGTAGCCCTTTAGCTAATAGACCCTGATTCAGAAGAAGCCCTAATAGTTCTTTGTATGCTATCTACTGTTTACTGCCTGACAATGATTAATAAGTTATACCTAAACTCCTGTGCAGAAAAACCAATAAAAGCCTGTCTAGGCAAAGGTCAGTGCGCTCTCCCCTTGAGAGAGTGGCCAGTCCATTCTCAGCCTCTCCTCACTTAAGAGAGTAGCCATGCTCTCCCTTTGCCTCCACGGGACTCAGTAGTTCATGCGAATTTGTCTCATGTCTCATCCATGACGCTGCAGGCACTGTGAGCCAGTGCACGCGTCAGTACACAACAATATGGGTGAACATCAAAGCTTTATATTGAATGAAAGAAGCTTTTCTCCAAAGGCTACATACTACATGATCCCATTAGGTGCTCTCTCAAAAACAAGACAGTGTTGCTAGGACTTAGGGGGCATGTGAGGAGACAGCATAAAGGTGTTTTGGGGACTGATGGGACTTCTCGATATTCTGCCTGTGGTGGCGGTTACACAGTTTATACATGTGTTAAATTTGATATAACTGTGCCAAAAAAGAAAAACAGTAAACATCACTGGATAATAATTAAACAAAAGCCAAAATTATCTGAAAAAATACAATTATTGGTTGACAGGTTTTCCTTAACACTCTAAAAATTTTGCTCCTTTGTCTTCTGGTATCCTTCATTTCTGAGGACAAATCAGTAGTCATTCAGTGTATCCATTTGAAATGTGTTTTTTCCACTTTGTCTATTTTCATTGTTCCCTTTGTATTTAATATTTTGATATAATGTTCCTAGGTGTGATTTCCTTCATATTTCTGCTGCTAGGTGTTTATGAGATTCTGAAATCTGTAAGTATAAGTATTTTCCTGAGTTAAAAATAATTTTGTCCCATTCTGTTTCCTCTGCTTTCAGAATTCCAATTATATGCATGTTAGGCCATAGGTCATATACATTTCTGATATTTATTCATTTTTACTTAACTCTTTTCTCTGTGTTCTGATTGGTTAATGCTTCCCTTCCTTATTCTTGTTCCACCATTACTTAGGAACCTACAAATAGGAAAGCATAGATAGACGAATGCCCCTTCAAACCCTACCCTAGTTTCCTCGATTATTAACATCTTGCATAATTTAGATTTGGTATATTATATATTTTCAGAAAGGCATCCATTTCTTCCAGGTTATTCATTTTTTGCAAAGCAAATGTTCTTATATTCTCTTAGGATACTTTACAGGTCTGTGGCATCAGGTGTAGTATCTCCTGTTTCATTTTTAATTTTATTTATGTGAGTCTTCCCTCTTTCTCAGCCTACCTAAAGTTTTGACAATATTGTTAGTCTTTCTTAAAACCAGATTTTAGTTTTTCTATTTTTCTATTCCCTATTTTATTTACTTCTCCTCTAAACTTTATCTTTCCTTCCTTCAGCTAACTTTAAGCTCTGTTTGTATTTATTCTAGTTCTATGAGGTAAGTTGTTTATTTGAAATCTTTCTTAATGTAGGCATTTATCCCTATAAACTTTCTCCTTAATACAGATTTTGCTGTGTCTTACACATTTTTGTATGTTGTGTTTTTATTTTCACTTGTTTCAAGAAACTTTTTAACTTATATTTAGCTTTGGCACCTTGGTTGTTCAAGAATGTGTTGTTTAATTTCCACATATTTTTTTAGTTTTCCAATTTTCCTTTGGTCACTGATTTCTTTTTCTTTTTTCCTTTTTATTGAAATTATAATGGTGATACTGGTAAACAAAACTATACAGAATTCAGGTGCACAATTTGTACACTACAGTATGTGTTTACCACCCCAAATCAAGTCTCTGCCCCTCACCATTTATCCCCTCTATAGCTGTCTGCACCCCCCACCCGTGGCAATCATCACACTATTGTTAGTGTTCTTGTTTTCTCTATTTTTCTTTTCTTCTTAAAAAATTGTTGGCACTGTTACAGATGTCCCACATTTTCCCCTCCTTTGCCCCTGATCCCCTTCTGGCCTTCACCACATTGTTACCCATGTCCATGGGTTATACATATATATTCTTTGGCCAATTTCTTCCAGTGCCCCTGTATCCCTTCCCTCTGAGATCTGTCAGTCTGTTTTATTTTGTTCATCAGTTTTTTTTTCATTCGATTCCACATGTAAGTAAGATCATATAGTATGTGTCTTTCTCTGACTTGTTTTGTTTAGCACAATAATCTCCAGGACCATCATGCTGCTACAATGGGTAAGAGTTCCTTTTTTACAGCTGTATAGTATTCCCTTGCATAAATATACCACAGCTTTTTGATCCACTCATTTACTGATGGGCATTTGGTCTGTTTCTTCTAGATCTTGGCTATTATAAATAATGCTTGTATGAATATTTTCAGGGGCACATATATTCTTTCTTGGTGTTTTGAGATTCTTAGGGTATTTTCCAAGAAGTGGAATCTCTCAGTCAAAAGTAACTCCATTTTTAATGTTTTTTCAGGAAACTCCATACTGGTTTCCACAGTGGGTGCTCAGTCTGCATTCATACCAGTGGTGCACTAGGGTTCCCTTTTCTCCACATCCTGGCCAGCACTTATTGTTTGTTGATTTATTGATGATGGCCATTCTGACAGGTATAAGGTGATATCTATTGTGGTTTTAACTTGTACACTCTGGCAATTAGTGACCCTGAACATTTGTTTAATATATCTATTGGCCATTGGTATGCCCTCTTTGGAGAAGCATCTACTCAGGTACTTTGCTAATGTTTTAAAATTGGATGGTTTGTTTTTCTGGTGTTGAGTTGTATAAGTTCTTTATATATTTTGGAAATTAACCTCTTACAGATGTATCATTGGCAGATATGTTCTCCCATACAGTGGGTTCCATTTTTATTTTGTTGATGGTTCCTTTTTCTGTGCAGAAGCTTTTTATTTGTTGTAGTCTCATTTCTTTATATTTTTTCTTTATTTCCTTTGCCTTAGGAGACATCAGTAAAGATATTGCTCCCAGGGATGTCCGAGATTTTACTGCCTGTGTTTTGTTCTAGGATTTTTATTGATTCACAACTTACATCTATCTAAGTCTTTTATCCATTTTGAGTTTATTTTTGTGAATGGTGTAAGTATGGTGTAGTTTCATTTATTTGCATGCACTGGTCCAATCTCCCCAATATCATTTATTAAAGAGACTATCTTTTCTCCATTGTATGATTTTGCCTCATTTGTCAAAGACTAATTGACAATAAAGGTGTGGGTTGATTTCTGGACCCTCTGTTCTCTTCCATTGGCCTATGCGTCTGTTCTTATGCCAGTACCAGGCTGTTTTGGTGACAGTGGCCTAGTAGTATCATTTGATATCAGGTGTTGTGAGACCTCCAACTTTGTTCTTCTTTCTCAAGAAATTGCTGAGGCTATTAAGGTATTTTGGTTCCATATACATTTTTGGTTCCATATACATATTTGTTCTAGGTCTGTGAAATATGCCATTGATATTTTAATAAGAATTGCATTGAATCTATATATCACTTTGAGTAGTACAGACATTTTAATGATGTTAATTCTTCCAACCTATCAACACACCATATGCTTCCACTTATTTGTACCTTCCTGAATTTCTTTCTTCAATGCCCTGTACTTTTCTGAGTACACATATTTTACCTCCATGGTAAAATTTATTCATAGTTACTGGGAGTCTTTTGATTACTGCGTCAATTTCATTGCTAGCAATCAGTCTGTTTAGATTTTCTAATTTGTCATAGTTCAGTCTTAGAAAGTTGTATGCTTCCAGAAATGTATCCATTTCTTCTAGGTTGTTCAACTTGTTGGCAAATAATTGCTCATAGTATTATTTAATAATTCTTTGTCTTTCTGTGATGTTGGTTGTAATTTCCTCTTTAATTTTTAATTTTATTTGTTTGGGCTATCAATATTTTTCTCAGTGAGTTTGGCTAAAATTTGTCACTTTTGTTCAATATTCAATAGTGTATTGGTTTAAATAGACATCCAAACAAATGTACAAGTTGCAATTGGTTGATAAGCCTTTGACTGAAGAAACTATAGAGCTAACCTGTTTTTTTAATTCTATTTTTCCAGCAACATTTATTGAAGAACCTGGATCATTTCTCTTTAAAAGAAAAGATTTTATTTATTAAATTTTAGAGAGAGGGGAAAAGAGGGAGAAATAAAGGGAGAGAAACATTGATTTATGAGAAAAGTATTGATTGTTGCTTCCTCATGTGCCCCAACCTGGGATCACACCTGCAACCCAGGCATGTGTCTTGATGAAGAATCAAACTGGCAACCTTTTGCTCTGCAGGATGACATTCAACCAACTGAGCCACACTGGTCAGGGTGGATCATTTCTTGTGTAGTGTTTCCATTTCTACATTTTGCTGCTCCCGTATCTGCCGATTTTTTCGAAGTATTATTTTTTTGATATGTCCTACAAATTAGAGGTTAAAGTAGAGGTTTACTAGAATTTGAGGTTATTCCTTTCTTTTGTCTGTAATATTAGCTGTCATTGGTGTTCAGTGACTAGGTTATTAATATATTGTTACATTATTTAAATAATTATATTGGCAACTATTACAATACTGTATTTATTTTTAAATTAATATTTTATTGATTAAATTGTTTTACTTATTTCTTATATATTAATTATATTTCTTATATATTCATCTAATTTTTAACATATTCTCATTCCATTTGAATTTTTTCTTAGATAGTTTTCATATAGTTTACAGTAATGGTGAATTTTTTATGTTCTTAACTATTACTTGCTCTTACTTATAAGAAAGTATTTAGAATAGGTAAAATTGTGGGCTCAAAACATACTTACCCATTAGAATCTCGTATATATTGTTTTTGTTTCTTCTAACATCTAGTGACACACATAGATATTCACTGTTCATTTAATACTCTGTTCATTTAAGTTATAGCAAGAAAGCAATGAAAATTACTCGTGGTTTTGTGAATTTAAATTCACTTACAGTAAGATTTGTGGGAAAATTATATATCTGAAGACTTGTTGGCCCTCATACATCTCAAAATTTTAGCATAAAAAATCAAGAATTTTTAGCTTCCTACCTATTACTTGAGATTCCTGGTTGAACAAAAGCAGAGAAATGGTGAAATTCATTCAAGGAAGCAGAGTGAGCAGAATTAAAAATGTCAAAATTGAATAAAGTCTTTGTGATTTTAAGTGGATAGAATAACACAAGCAGTGGATAATTTAATCTATGTGTACAGCAATGTCCCAACACCAGCTTGGAGAGACCTACACCACATCTTTTTAGGGTGCTAGGGACCCAGATGTCAACATAAGAACTGCCTGCATGCTGCAGGAGGACAGGGGTAAACCCGGGAGAACAGCTATGATTCTGTGTGTTAGTAGCTGAAGTACAGAGCAGAAGTCTGGAGATCAGGACAGAAGATGTCACTCTTTGTGCACTTGAGATGAGACAACTTTACCTTAGTATATAAATGTGTAACTTGACAAAAGAGATTTGGGGGCTTATGTTGTTTTTCCTCTGAAAAGAGGATGAACCTTGGGCTACTAAGCTGGCAGAAAGTGGGGCCTTACAAGACATAGAACAAAAATATGTGCTGGAAAAATGATAGGTTAGAGCTATGACTAACCCTGACCACTTACCTTTTATTGACAGGTACAAATAAGAAATAAGTGCACCATAAAAAACCATCAGCACAACGCCTATGCTTGAAATATCCCATATCCAGTCATTGTATAAAAAAAACAAAGGATCTGAAAGAGACACTGAGAAAGGTATACCAATTAGAAAATTAGTTAAAGTGAGAACTAAGAGAAGAGAATATTCTGGAACCAATATTTAATATAACTTATTTGATCTGATAACTTATTCTTTTTGTTGTTGTTGTTGTTCAAGTACACTTGTCTCTATTTTCTCCCCCTCCCCCCATCCCAGCCATCCCCACCTCCCACCCCTGATCCCACCCACCTTGGTTTTGTCCATGTGTCCTTCATACATGTTTCTGAAAACCGTTCTCTCTTTCCCTTCTTTACCCTCTTCCCCCTTCCCTCTGGTTACTGCCAGTTTGGTCTTAAGATTTTAATGTCTCTGGTTATATTTTGCTTGCTTGTTTGTTCTGTTGATTAGATTCCACTTATTAGTGAGATCATATGGTATTGTTCTTTAGCAGTTATCATTTGAGTACTAAAAATGTACTAATTCAATCAACCATCACAACTATATAAAATAGACCCTTTAACATTCTTTTGTTATCTTATTAATTTTGAGTTGATGTTATAACAAGATGCCATGTGAATGAGAAGAGTGGACCTTGACTTTGGGAGAGCTGTGAATACTTGGGGAGAAAACAGACTGTCATAGGCGGGATGGGCATCCCCCCAAAAGACCTATTCTCCAATCCCTGGGCCTGTAAATATGTTACATTATATGAAAAAAAGACTTTGCAGATAAAATTAGGCTATGAAGCTTAAAATAAAGACATTATTCAGGAATATTTAGGTGAGGAAAATTAATCATGTGAGCTCAGAAAAGCAGAGACTTTCTCTGGCTGCAGTCAGAAATATGAGGCAGAAGAAGAGATTTCAGATGCTGACAGGGACTTGACCTGTTGCTGCTGGCAGAGCATGACGAGATCCAGGCAGCCTCCTGGCCCCCTGCTGACAATCAGCAAGGACATGGGACTTAAGTCCCACAACTGCAAGGAATTGATATTGTCCAATGAACTAAATCAATTTGGAGGCACATGAGTGAGGCTTTGAGTATAATCTATCCTGGTGTAAAATTCCTTTTCATCACGAACTGTGAAACTAAAAAAAAAAATTACCTGCCTTAAAATATCATGGTGCAATAAGCATAAGAAAACAGTTGTAGACATTCCCAGTAAAAGGCAGAGAAAATGAAAAGAAAAAAGTACTTTCTACTCCCAAGCAATTTCAAAATTCGGGCAAACTCCATTAGGTCTCAAGTCCTGAGGATAATTCTCTGTGAGTCATGGGCTAAAGGATGAATAATGGACTTGAAAGATACTCCACACCTAATGCATGGTACTTTGTGTGGTAAAAGAGTATTTGTAGGTGTTACTAAGTTAAGGATCTTAGACAGGGAGATGATTCTGAATAGTCTGGCTGAGCCCACTGCAATCACTAGTACCCTTATAAGAGGGAAGCAGTTTATTTTATACACAGACGAGAAGAGGATGTAAAGACAAAGTATTTCACTTATATGTGGAATCTAAATAATTAAACTAATGAACAAACACAACAAAACAAACAGACTCATAGACACACAGTACAAACTTATAGTTGCCAGAGGGTTGAATGATGGGGGAGATGGGCAAAAAGGTGAAGGAGACTGAGAGGACGAACTCATAACATAAATAAGTCACTGAGATGTAATGTACAACATAGGGAATGCAGTCAGTAATATCTAATTAATAACTTGAGGGATCAATGGTTACTAGACGACTCATGGTGATCACTTCCCAAGGTATATAAATGTCAAATCACTATTTTGTACACCTAAAACTGATATAATATTGTATGTCAACTATAATTAAAAAGAACTCTGTATTTAAGAATGAAAAAAAAAGATAGAATTCCTAGGGATAAAATGACAAAATAGAGCTGTACACTGTAAAGCATGAAACATTGTTGAAAGTAATTATATAAGATCTAAATAGATAGAATGATATCCACATTCTTTTTACTCAATGTTTATAACAGAATTATTAATAGTAGCTAAAACTGAAAACAACTCAAGTTACATTAATTGGAGAATGGATAAATAAAATGTTCTGTATTCACATAATAGACTATTATTCAGAAATAAAAAAGAATGAAGAACTGATACATACTAAAACATGAATAAACTTTTAAAATAATATGCTAAATGAAAGAAATCAGTCAAAAAATAAATATCATTTGATTCCATTTATATGAAATGCTTAGAAAAAGCAAATGAAAACCAAGATGAAATACCACTACAAACATTGATCTAAAGTTAGAGAGACTACAGGAACCAAATATTGAATACATGAGGGAATAAATGTTCTCTTATCCATTGCTGGTGATATGTAAAATGATACAGACACTTGAGCTGTTCGTTATAAAATTAAACATACACATAACACATGGTCCAGCTCAATTTCTAGATATTTATTTTTAAAAATGCTGATCACAGCTATGTGGTCATTAAACATGCAAATCCCTTTACAATCAGGAATAATGTAATTTGCCTCAGACATCTCTTACAGTGGTTGAGTTGGCTTGTGTCCTGCTCTCTTCAGGAGTGACAACTGACAGTTGAAATTAAGACGTCCTGGGGAAATGCGACTTGTATTTACTGTTTTTTCCCCACATTTTACCCAGGTACTTGATTTGTTTACACTATCACCAATTTTCCTTTAGTACTGAAAAATTGGTCTTTTTATCCATCAATTTGGTAAGTTTGAAGGCAGGGTTTCACAATTTTCAGTGGAAAGAATTGAAAAAAAGGCCCATGTAAGTTGCTGTTCAAGGCCCACTGTGCATGAGGATGCGGATGGGAACTGAGGCACAGAGAGAGCCCTGCTGGTGACCACCCAACTCTCTATACTTCTCCTCCGTGATTCGAAAGCAATGCCTCAGATAAAACAGAGGGTATTTTCCCCTTGTTTGATGGTAAGTATCCTGTATATTCATTTCCTTAGAATCCTCTAGACAATTAAGAATTATAACAATTAAATACAATCTGATTTAAGCAATTGTTATTTTAAATATTTTATATCTCTTAGAAAATCAATTTTTATGGAGGAAACTTTTGTTGTTAATAAGTTAGAAATATAAACACATATCAGCTTAAAAAAAGAATTGTCAAGTGTCAAAATTACATTTTTGAATGATTTAATTACATTAATCTACCAACTTTATCTCTAAGTGATAGCCTCATTTCATAGGCAATAGGTCCAAGGAAGGATTTCCATGTTCCATAATCTTTCTGAAATTGCATGCAAGCTGAAGAGGTATGTATGAATATCACTGTCAGATGGAAAAACATTGATGTCTAGCATCGTGTACTCAATGTAGGCACTCCGCCCCAAGTAGACAAGAAGCGGAGACCAGAGTCATGAATGTGCACCGTCAGGGGCCCCAGTAAAACGAATGAGTGGTTGCCCCCAAGCATATTTTCTGGAGCCAGAATGGTTTTCCCTCCTTGCAACAGGAGGCGCTATGTCCTAAAGCACAGTTGAGAACACGGGCAGCAGTTATAGGACCTTCAGTCCTTGACGCCCACAACAATCTAGTGTTGGAATTTGGTCCTCTGTAACGTCACCCGAACCACTGTTCTTGGCAATGATGAAAGAGTCACACAGCTTTGGATAAACAACCCAGATTCTCAGGAAAAGAGAGAGTCCCCACTACTGAGCTGACTTACCTCCTCTCCGAAATAGCACATACATAATGGGCATTATACAAGAGCATCCAAAACACAGTAATTGAGCATAACTTGTGTTCAACAAATGAATGAGGTCACACTGGAACTCTAGAACACAGAGAGAGTTAGAATTAAAAAATGAGGGCTGCAGGCACGCGGAGGCATAACTGACATAAGGAGCATTATCAGAAAAAACATAGTCATTGTCCTGCATGCACTTGACCTAGATAAGGCTCAGGATGCGCTTTTACTTTGTGGGTGACGTCAGGACCTAGGAGGACTGGATTTGTAGCTCTAACAGGGCTAAGAGCAGTTTCCTTTCTTAGTTCTCAGCACCCGACCTAGCACAACATTAATCTGTCTGGGGGCCTGGGGAGAGGCCCTAGGAGACGTCATCAGATGTGTGGGGCTTCTGAGGGTTGTGAGACTGACCGGATGTCACTGTGGCGACACTGAGTTGGCTGAAAGAAAAAAACTGTCCTGTTCATGGACTCTGAATGTACTTACACCTTTCAGCTTGAATCCCACTGTCAAGGGGCTGATTTCTACAAGCTAAACAGAGATGATTAAATGTTTTTCCATATATTACTAAAATATGTATCCATTTATTCTTTGGCTTATATCACCTTCCAGAGGAAAGTATGGTACAATCAGGTACTTTCTAAAGAAACTCAATTGTAGTAAAGTTATGACCTCGGTTCATTAAAAGACTTTTGTGGGGAAGTGGGAGAAAGCTAACTGGAAGATATCATGTATCAGCAGATTAGATTTTCAAAATGAAGAAAATTCCCACAATAACTATGCAACAGGCTGCCACGTGAGTTGATAACTTCCTCAGCCACTAGGCTGTGCAGGCAGAAACCTGACACTAAACCCTGGAAGGAAGCACAGTGATCGGAGCCTGAGAGCTGGAGCCAAGCACATCCTAGGTGTTCCTACCTCGGCTCTGCCACTTGCAAGCTATGTGAGCCACCATATCTCATCTATAAAATGCTAATGGTAATAGCACTGCCTATTAGGGTTAATTTAGGTAAATTCTGTAAAATGACTATCACAATGCCTAGCGTAAGGTAGACACTGAATAAACATGGTAGCAGGTTTTAAGGATCTGGTAGAAAAATGAGCACAATGGATTGTATCTTCTCCTTTGACTCATGTCCATTAAATCGTCTACTCAGTCTCCAAACTCACATCCCATATCTCACAATTTACTCAGCAGTATATGAGCTATTTTGCTTGGTAATATTTTGGGGCAAAAATTGTTCTTAATGTTCTTGTAGCTGATGGGCCACAATATCCACTATAGTATTTAGCGATATATTCATAAAGAAAAGTGATAGTCATTTAGTTTAGCCATAAAACCCAAAGAAACATAAGGATTCCTAAGAAATCCTTAGAAAGAATTTATTAGTTTGGAGACCTATTTCTTTTTCATGTTAGTTTTGTTCAAGTCCTTGAATGGAGGTACTATCTCAAAAATTAATGGCAATCCATGTAGGAGGAAAGACTGCTATCGAATGAAGAGTATCCTAGAAAAAACTCAGGATTTGGCCCTCACTAAGTTATTTTGACTGAAGCAGAGGTTGGCTCTACTTCATTTCAGTTGAATACACTCTTGTCTAAGAGAGAAAACACTCCTTTGTGGGCACAGAAGTAACTGGGAGCCTGAGCAGCTCAGGAGACATACTGACCTCAGTCCTCAAACAATCCTTGTCCCGAGAAGCTCATAAATGACAGGTGTGAAGTCTAACAGGTCTAAGGTGAGAAACAAGTCCTAAGCCATTCTATGCAAGGCTTGGAACGTTCTCACAAATGTCGGACAGCTTTGCTTAAGCACCCCATGTGACTTGAGCATCACACTGAAAGCGGTGCCCTAAGTGATTACACCCTTGTTGCGGCAGTTACCTGTTTTTCTGAAATGTTGACAGAGTAGGAGCACACCAATAAAAAGTAGTATCACACAGAAAATTGAAATTAAAGCTATCAGCAAGATGTAGACTGGATAAAATAGGGCATCTGAAAGAAAGAGCAGAACAATCAGAAGTTCAATAAATCCATGACATGCACCACTATTGAATTAGGGATTTTACTGCTAATAAGGAACATTACCTTTCAGATCCTGCATTTTCTTTATTTTTATTTTTATTACTTTTGTATTTGAGTCAGGGCTAAAGATCAGTGGAACTATTTTACTGGCAAGTACAGAGCCTGGGATTGAGTGTTTTGGGGATGGAGTTTAGACTGAGGCTACAATGGAATGAAGTCTCTCCTTTGTCTCTTCTCATATTCCTGTGCAAAGGTTTCCTGATTATAAAGGAAACAATCAAGCAGAACCCTGGATGCCATAACTCACGCTGGGAGCTGAGCAGCTCAGTGGCCCTAAGACAGCCTCAGAATTGTCTCCAGGGAGCTCTTAAGGTATAATGAAGACAAATAGATCTTTCTTTTCTTTTATGGTTTGCATTTTTAAGTTCTCTCTAATACGGTATTTTCCTCCAAAAGTGTTATTTCAGTTGCAGCATTTAACTTCTAACCCCTCTGAAATTTATTTTTGTATAGCTATATGCAGGAGTCTTTTTCTTCCTGCGGTATTGTTAATTATTGCAACATTACATAGGAACTGTTTCATCTTTTTAATAATGCATTAAAATTCATGCATTACAGTTTGGTATACACTGTTTCCTTATGACCTGGATCTCATTCTACCCTCCTTATTTTTTATTATTGGTACAATGGTCTTTTCCTGTGACAGTAAACAAGAGTCTGTGGTCATAAATGACCACAAATTATTTAACTGTTCATTGTTCAAAATCACTTTCTTCATTTAAAGACATTTCAGATAGAAATTCTTTGGAGATCTTTTTTTTAAAATGAAGTTGGGTAAGGTAATATTGAAGTTAGTATGGAAGAATGAATATCTGTAAGTGGTAGAGAAAAGGTTAAGTAAATAAGGAGGTAGAATTTATTTTATCAGATTACAAAAACTGAATATAATACATGGAGATATAAAGCACAGCATAGGAAATACAGTCAATAATATTATAACTGTGTACGGTACAACATTGGTACTGTATTTATCAGGGTGATCACTTTGTAAGTTATATAAATCTCCAATCACTATGTTTTTCACCTGAAACTAATATATTGTATGTTAATTATAATTGAAAAACAAAACTCATATATTTATAATTTTAATTATAAGATTAAAATTATAAATTTTAATTTATAATTAAATTATAAATTTTATATAATCTTATGTGAGATTTAATATAAAACCCATATAACATGAAATTTAATATAAAATTCATAATTTAAAAACTGACTATAATGAAGTGATTATATTGATTCTGGGTTGTGTTTGTCTGTATAGACATAAATATTCCCACTCAAAACACAGTATTCCTCCATAAACATGTATGTTTTTCTGAGGCCTTTCAGACAGAATACGTATTGTTTGCAAGTAGATTCTGTATCTGGCTTGTGACTCTATGCATTTTATGGCTAATGTTAAACACATGCTATTTTTTTCCAAGATTTTCATTGGGTGTTTTTGCCTTTTATTATTATTTTTGTTCTAGTGCATAATTAAGAAAATATATATTTGTGTTTTGGTTGCATATTTGCCTGTACCATATATTTGGTACTTTTTAATGATAGCAATAACATTTTTTCAGGAAAAGCAAAGTTTACCATGCAATGTTTGTGCAGATTTCATGTTTGTCTGGTTTAAATTTTAACTGGTTTAATACTTGTAAATGACATAAAGGTGTGAGATCTTTACTTAGTACACAGAATGTAAAAAGTGATAACAACATTGCTCACACAGTTCATGAAAGTCTTTTCTTCAAAATTTATTAATTATTATGTAATTCGACTTTGCTTATTATTCATTTAATTGCAACAGATAGGGCTCTTTTTTCAAATATTATGCTTATTTTAAATCCTATTCCAGTTTGAATTCTATCTGAAACTAGTATTTGAATTCACCTATCATATACAATTCTTATTAATTTACATAGAAAACAACTGTCTTTAGTGAAATAGTAAGAAACATTAGGAAGATTAAAAAGAGGTTAAAATGGAAATTATTTTTCTCATTGACCAGAGGATGAGTTCAAAACAAATACTTCCAAATATTGCTATTTGCCTGTGCTGTTTGTTTTCTTCCCCTCCCTCTTTCCTTATTTTCTCAAATACTTTGCAGGTTTCTCTTATTTGCCTAAAGGTCATCTAAAAGGTATGCTCCAAAATTCAGTTCTAGGATTTGTTTTTTTTATTTTTTTCTGTTCTAATTCTTTTTGTGGTTGAAGACATTCACATTATATCTCAAGCCTCATCTCTTCCACAGAATTTTAATGCATATCTACCTCCTAGTTAACATTTTCATTTTATGTCTTACAGGCATGGTCTTGTCTCCAAGATATGCTCATCTCACAAACTTCTCCATCTCAGTAGGTGAAAACCTATCTTTCATGACTCAAGCCCTGAACTTTAGAATTGTATTTCACCCCTTTCGTTCTCTCATCGTGCATTTGATTCATCACTAAGTCCCATCAGCACTGCATTTAAAATATTCTTAGAATCTTACTGTTACCACCTTTTCTGCCATATCTATTTCCCAGATCATTGTTATGGACTCCTATCTAGTCAGGGTAACACTTTTTTTTTTCCAGTCCATTTTATAATCCTTTAAGAAGATTAGAAAAAGATATGTAAGATAAAATGCTGTGCCTTCTGACTAGAAGGAGACTCCCTGAAGTGACATGTGAGGGCCCACCACTGTCTTCCCACAATCAGCCCAGACTTCTCTGCATAGGTGTTAGCTGAGGGTACCTTTGTCACACATAAGACATAGCCTTTTCCTCTTTGGCCTTTGATGTCCAGCCACCCTGCTTCTGAAGGTGATGTATCAACCAGTAATCAGAAACCTGTGCTTTAGTTCCACATTTTACTTGATGTTGATTTGACTGGCTTCTCTCAACATCTATTTACCTATAAATGGCCACAATAATCTTTTCTTACTGAATTTTCAGGAAGTTTTCGAGTTAGTGTTAGTACAGAATATTAGATAATGGTAAGCAAAGATTTTTGCCTCTACTAATACATTTGTATTACAACATGTCACAAAAATCCATGAAGTATGATTATACTTCTTTCTAAGATGAGAAAACTATAGTTAGGAAAGTAAATGACATCCTTTAAGTCACTGAGCTAAAAGCTTGTTAAGCTGGCACATGAATACTGCGAATGAAAATGGGGCTCTGTAATAAATCAGTGGCCAAAAGTAACCTCACAGGGTGATTGGATCATAAAGTCCTAACTGGGCAGGTCATGGTAGGTAATCATACCTTAGGCTTATAACTTCTTTAGCAAAAGGTATATTTTCACCTTAATCAAGCCATATCCATTGTTCTGGTGCCCCTAGATTAACAGACCTTTGAAATGCCAGAGTACTCTTTTTCAGACTCCTGGGAGGCATAACCAGTCTCAGTGGATCACAATCTTGTTACATATCATGTAACCTAATATTCCCTCCCTTACTGGCTTTCTCCCACCTCCATGTAATTTCCTCATGTTTCCTCCTTAATTCAAAGTGTATTTTTAAAAAAACTGCAAGGCTGTCATTCTTGTGAGCATTTGGAATCTTGCTTCTGGGCATGCATCAGTTTGGCTTGAAAATTCTCTACAGGTTTGGACATTCTTGCATTGATGATATTGTGAGGGTCTAATGAGATAATGAACTTCCCTTTAAAGCTACAATGTGTATTTCAGTTATGGGTTGTTATTACCCTTCTAATTTTTTCCTCGAAAGTCCTCCTCTCAGCACCTGACAATATCTGTGTACAAAAACCCATAACAATTTTAAAAAGTCACATTCAAATACTGCTTGATAATGTACAAGGCTTTTAAATATGAATTATCTCATTTATTTTCTCTATATCTTGCTTTATTGACAACCAAACCCTGCCAAACACTCACCAGCCAAGAAGATACTTATTTGCTTCCCTTCATCTGACAGAGGGTTTCGAATGTAGCAAAGCAGACTGCCCTGTGATTTGTTTCTGAGGAAAACAATCATCTTCATGTAGAATAATCCGGCTTCATCCCGTGAATAGGATTTTGATAAATGTGGAACTACCTCTCCCTTGTTGTCTCTCCACTCCATCTGGGGCTCTGGGAACCAGCCTCCTGAGTTACACTCCACCATAAGTCCACCAGTGCTAACAACCTGAATATAGATCTGTGTCTCCAAGCCTAATGCTGGGTAAATGAGACAGAAATCAAGATGGTTATCGTATTGAGATTGAGTCATAGATAGAGAACAGGCTGACAGCTGTGGGGGTGGGTTTGGGATTGGAGGGATCAAGCTTAAAAGAACAAGGACTTGTGTACATGGACAATGACCAGTGTAGTAATTCTGGGGGCAGAGACAGTTGGGTGGAGGGGGAAGAAGGTATGAGAGGGATAAATGGTACTGGAAAAATATAATAAAAGTAAACTATTATTAAAAAAAAGAAAGTTGAAAGTAAAAGGGTCTCATTAATCTTGTATTCTGCAATATAAGAAGGGGTAATCCTCAAATCCACATCCAAGCTACAAATTAGACTATATTTGGTCACTCAGCTCTGTTTATTTACTGCATAGTACATTTTTGCAGTAGATATAGGGTGTTTTCTCGCTATTTTAAACACTTGAAGTACTGTGTAAAAGTAAAAAAGACAAGAAATAAAAAGAAAAAATAATATATTTTCTACATATTTCAGCTCATGGGGCCATGAGACCATTGTTATGCAATGTTCCACCATACACCTACCTACCTGTGACACTCAGGTTCATGCCAGCCACACCCCTGAATTCCCTGTCCTTGAATGAACACTGATATGGTCCATTATCAGAAACGCTGATATTATGAAGTCGGAGAGTCACTTTGCCATCCCCAATGTCCTCTTTCACAAACTCTATGCGATCCATATATTCTGGGGCAGTGTTCTCATTCACTTCATGGCCATCTCTGTATAGGTGAACAAGCTTGGAATGATTACCCTTGAACCAAGACACCTCCATGTGTTCTGCACTTTGTGGTGGGGACAACTGGCAGCTAAGCTCAGCCTGTCCTCCTACTGTAGCCACCAAGTGTCCCGTGGAAGTGATCACTGTCCACTTTTCTGTAGGGAAAGATAAAAAACTAGGATAAGTTTGAGGCCAACAGCATCTCTCTTGCTATATATTCAAGGACATACTGTATTCTTCCCATCTAACCTGGCCATTTTAAATGTTCCCTTCTGTGTAAATCAACATTTTATTTATTGAAAAGACCAATGTTACTACACTATTCTCTTTAAAACATACTCACTTGGGTTCTGGGGAGATGGCAGCACAGAAAGCATCAGGAACATGACTCCCTACTTAGACAATGATTGCACTGGCAGACTCTGCCTGAGGTAACTGTTTTAGAACTTTGGGGTCTATGGGAGGTCTTCAACTTCCAGGGGAAACGTTGGATGGTAAATTGCATTAATTTTGGTCAATTTCAGTTTCTATCACAGTAGCATCTATCCATTGCCCACCCTCAGCCTCATGGCAGGCAGCTGGGCACTCTCCCTGGAGCAGCTCTCACATAGACCATGGGAGCCAGAGTAGGCAAAAAAGGAAAATAAAACAAAAAACTGTCATTCAAATACTGGGCATCTGTGCTGTGATCACTGATTGATGCTTCCAACCACAGAGATTGGAAGACAAAGAGGCAAGTGGCCATTGAGATGTACATTCTCTTTTTTCAAGCCTATCCTCTCTAACTGAAGTGACACCCAGGGAATTTAAAGGGCCAGCATCCTTTCATTCACTCCTTCTGATACAGAGAGTTCTGATCAGAACACTGGGAAGGATTAGGGAGGGGCCACAGGAGGAGGCTGCAATGGTAAAAGTCTAGGACTAGGCTGACTGAGAAGCTGTACATTTCCAGAGTGTGTGGTATCATGGACCAGAAGATTTAAAATAAAAGGAGGGTAGAGACTGGCTCTTGGGCTCTCTTCCTTTAGGATGCCTGGATGATCATGCTGTAGTTGCCTGCATTTCCCAAAGGATTGTATTTGGATAGATTTTGGGTGGGAGGAGAAACTACAGGCTCAGCCTGGGATCAGGCTGGCCTAGCAGAGGGTGGCAGGGTTATTCTTCTTTGGGTGCTCTAGAAGGGATGGGCTTTGAGGCAAAAGACTCATTCTTCTAAAATCATGTAGCTTTTGTTATCTTATGTTGTTTTAGCTTTTATAAACTAATTCTATAGACATAAGATAATTAGAAACTAACAGGAGGAATGGTAGGGGAACTCGGGAGTTAAAAAGTTTAGCCTTAATTCAAAGGTTTAAGTGATTAAAGCTGTAACTAAAGAGTTAAAGATTTTACCCTCAAAAGATGTTATTCCAAAATTGTGTAGCTTTTGAATAAAGACTCCTTTCCTTTTTCACCAAACTTTTGCCTCTGGAATTTTGCCTAGAGGGTAGCAGCCAGCAGCAGTTCCCCACTCGCTGTTTGGTAACAATTCATTTTTCTTTTTTCCCATTTTGGGAACAAGACATTAAAGATTAGAATATTCAAAAGCAAATGCATATATGGGGGAAATTGGAAAGTGACCACACATGTCCAAGAAAAGGGACAGGCGTATAAAAGCTTGAGGAGACCTGAAGTTAACACCTCATAGTGATCCTTGGCACACAGACAGCCTACAACAATAAAATAAAACAAGATAAAAATGATAAACAAAACAATAACAAAAAGCCAACAAAACCTGAAAAAAGAGAGGAGTGAAGTTTTGAGTTAACACATTAAATTTCAATGTCCAGTTTCCATTTAAACAATTCACAAAATATACAAAGAAACAGGAAAATATGGCACATTCCAAGAACAATAAAATCAAACACAAACTGTTCTGAGGAAAAAAAAAAACCTGATGGCAGGCAGATCTATAATTAAAGACTTTAAAAGAAGTATCTTAAGATGCTAAAAAGAAAAACATAGGAAGAGATGATAAAGTCAAGAAAAAAATGTATGAACAAAACAGAAATATAAATAATGACCTAAAAACCTGAAAAGAAAACAAAAAGGAATTCTGGAGCTAAAAAAAACAAAACTGAAATGAAAAATTCACTGGTGGGATTCAAAGGCAGATTTAAACAGAAAAAAAAAAAAAGAATCAGTGTACTCAAAAGCCGGATGATGGAAATTATTAAGTCTGGGGAACAGGAAGAAAAAAGATTAAAAAGAGTGAACAAAACTTAATGGATTTGTGGGACATCATTGACTAGAACAAGATATTTATTGTGGGAGTCCCAAAAGGAGGAGAGAGAGAGAATGAGACAGAAAGAACATTTGGTACAATAATGGCTGAAAACTCCCCAAATGTAATAAAAGACATGACTCTAAATATCCATGAAGTTCAACAAAATCTAACTAAGAAGAACTCAAAGACAATCACAAGCAGACCCTTTCAAATCAGACTTTCAAAAGACAAAGAATCTGGAGAGCTGCAAAGAAGAAGCAACTCATCACATATGAGGACGTATAAGCAGATTTCTCGCCAGACCTTTGGAAACCAGAAGGCAGTGGAAAATATATATACAAAATACTGAAAGGAAAACAAAACAAAACACTGTTAGTCAAGAATCACATGTCCAGCAAAGTGTCCAGAATTGAATAAGTTAAGTTATTGCCAGAAAAATGTGAGGGAGTTTGTCGACATTGGGTCTGCCCTACAACAATGAAAACAATGCTTGAGGGAGTTGACAGTGACCTGAAATTAAAGAAGTGAAGTACCCAATGAAGCTAAATACATGAGCAAGTATATGAGCTATTATTATTATAACAATGGTTTCTTTTTATTGATTGATTTTTTTAAAGAGAGAGATGTAACAAGGAATTGAACCCACAACCTTGGTGTGTAAGGACAATACTCTAACCAGCTGAGCTACCTGGCCAGGGTGTAACAATAATTTCAAGCTCCACTTTTTGTTTCCAATGTCATTTAAGAGACTAATATATTTTTTTAAGTTATTAGTATAAAAGCTAGCATTATTGTAACTTTGGTTTGTAAGTCCACATTTTATATTATATAATATAAAAGACTAATATAATTAAGAGAATTATTAGTTTATGTCTTAGGGTACACAATATATGAAGATATACTTTTGTATTGTCAAGTAAAGGATTAGGTACAAAGCAGTTAAAGAAAAAAGTTTTTATGTTATTAAAGTTAAGCTGTTATATATTCATATTAGAGTATCAATATTTTAAAATTTTAAATGCAATCCCCATGATAACCCCCCGAAAATACCTAAAGAATATGTAGAAGAGGAAATAAGGAAGGAATTTAAATGTTTCAATACAAACAATCAACTAAACATAAAAAAAAGAAGGTTGCCCTGGGTGGTGTGGCTCAGTGGATTGAGTGCCAGACTGCAAACCAAAAGGTTGCCAGTTTGATTCCCAGTCAGGACACATGCCTGGGTTGTGGGCCATGTCCCCAGATGGGGGTGCACAAGAGCCAACTGATCGATGTATCTCTTAACAGTTTTCTCCCTCTCTTTCTCCCTCCTTTCCCCCTCTCCAAAAATAAATAAATAAAGTCTTTTTTTAAAAAAAAGAAGGTAGTGAAGAAAATGAGAGACAATAAAGCTAAATGGCATACAAAAAAAAAATAACAAAATGACAAAAGTAATTCATTATTTCCAAAAACGCAACATACAACCATACGCTATCTGCAAAAGATTTACTTAGATCCACAGACTCAAATGAATTGAAAGTGAAGAGATAGAAAAAGATAATCCACGCAAGAGGAAATCATGGTGGTGATTGCAAAAATGTTATGTATTTAATATTAGCGAACAGTATAATCAAAATTAGTTAAGATAGTTAATGTAATTTTATGTGTATTTCATGAAATGAAATACACATAAAATTTATACTTGATAGAAAATAAAAGCACATATGTCAAAAAAGAATAACAGCCAAGAAAAGGGGTAACAAACAGAAAACAGTAACAAATATGTTAGATAGTAATCTAGTTATATTAATAATCACTTTAAATATCAGTGGTCTCTGTACTGATTAAAAGAGATTGTCAGAGTGATTAAAAATAAACCAATGATATGTCATCTACAAGAAACCCACTTTTAATATACAGTTTCAGCTTACAAGAGGAAAAAGTGTGACAGACACAAAAGTGGGATGTTATTTGGACTTAAAAAATAAAATTGGTTCCTGTGCTATGACATGAATGAACCTGGAAGATATTAAATTAAGTAAGCCAGTTACAGAAGGACAAATACTGCATAATTGCACTTATATGAGGTGCCTAACATAGTCAAACTCACAGCAGCAGGGGGTAGAATGATAGATTTTTTTGTGGCTGAAAAGAGGGAAAACTGGAGAATTGTTTCTCAATAGGTATTTTGAAAAACCACGCTATACTGTTTTATGGGTAATGCAAATACCTTATAATAACCAAGAATTTTTAGGACTTCCAGTCAAGAAGAAGGCATAACTAAACATGGCTTGCCTCCTCACACAACCACATCAAAACTACAACTAAACTAGAACGACCATCACTCAGAACTGTCAGAAATCAAGATGAATGGAAGTCTAATAACTACAGAATTGAAGAAACCACATCCCTTCAGACTGGTAGGAGGGGCAGAGATATGGAACTTCTTTTAACATTTCTTGTAAGCTCTGAAAATGAGCTGGGTCCCTACCCTTGCTTCTTTCGAGACTTTTTCTTTCATTTTCTGCAGTTTTAATATGATGTGCCTTAATGTAACTTTGTTGTTATTGTTGTTAGTTGGTTGGTTGGTCGGTTTTTAGTATTCATCCTGCTTAGTGTACTCTAAGCTTCCTGGATGTATGGTTTGGTGCCTGACATTAACTTAAGGAAATTCCTTGCCATTATCGTTTCAAATATTCCTTCTGTTCCTTTCTCTTTTTCTTCTCTTCTGTTATTTCCACTATATGTATAGCACACTTTTTATATTGTCTCACAGGTATTGGATTTTTTCTTCCTCTTAAAACTCCCTTTTTTTCTATTTGTTTTTCAGTTTTGAAAGTTTCCATTGATATATCTTCTAACTCAAGATATTCTTTCTTCATTCGTATCTAGTCCACTAAATACGAATGAAGTCCGTGAAAGGCATTCTTCATTTCTGTTACAATGTTTTTGATCTCTATAATTTTTTAAATTCTTTCTTAGAATTTACATTTTTCTGCTTGCATTTCCCATCTGATCTTGCATGCTGCCAGCTTTTTCCATTAGAGCCTTTAGCATAGTAAATATAATTATTATATTAAATCCCAAAATGTTACTATATCAAAGTCTGGTTTTGATGTTTGCCCTGTCCCTTTAAACTGTATTTTTTGCCTTTTAGTAGGCCTTGCAAATTTTTGTTGAAAGCCAAACATGATAGAATGGGTAAAAGGAACTCTGGTTAAAGGCTTTTAGTGATGGAATAAGTGTAGGAGGAGGATAGTATCCTTTAATCCTGTGATTAGACCTCAGTCTTTTATTGAGCCTATGTCCTCGGCTGTGAACTTCATAAGTGCATCTCAGTCTCCTCCTCACCCTTAGCTGGGCTGAAGTTGGATATTTCTCTACCTCCAAGTCGGTCAGACTGATGAAACACTAATAGTTTAGTCTCTGGTAAAGTAGTCTGTCTTGAAGATAGGCCTTGTTAAGAAGATCGTACTTCAAAAAATGGTTACTCTTCACCTCTCTCTGCCTAAAACATTAGGGGATATTCACAGTGAGATCCTAGTAAAAATCCTGGAGGTAAAATTCACAAAAGTGAGTTCTCCTACTAAAATGGGCCTTCTTAGAGTCTAACTCAGACTTGTCCACAATGAGCCCCCAGGAATTCAGTGATCACAGCTTAGATCTTCCTTCCCTGCTTCTGGCTTCCACAGAGAGTTCTGCTCTGATAGCTGTGAGTTTCTAACTCTGCCATTTGTCTAACTTGCCCATTTGGGAGACAGCAATTTGTCCTATGACCTCACTCCCCCATTGAACCTGAAAAGACTTGTTGATTTGGGGGTGGCTTTTCTAGCTTTTTAACTTGATGTTAGGAGGCAATGATGACTTCCAAGCTCTTTCCATGCTGAACTAGACACTGGAAGTCTGCCCTAGGTTCTTTCCATAGTTGTGACTCAGTAAGAAAAAAGGAGATGTTCTCACCTGGTGTTGATGTCATCACTTGTAGGAAAAGAAAGCCCACATAATACCCAGAAAAATAGGAGTACTTAGGCTTCATCATGCCTGGAAAAAGACAAGAAGAAAGTCACAGACAATGAGATACTAGTAGGGATTGTCAAGATACATAAAATTAAATCAAGAACATGAAAGGGGACAACCTCTCAGTGTTCAAAAAAATGACATGTCTCCCCGAAGTGTTTGATCAGAAAAGGTCTTTTCGGTCCCTTTCTCCCACTGAGTCACACTTCACTTTTTATTCCTCACTTTGTAACCTAACCTACTAAGTGACCATTTTCTCCAGGAGGCATAATAAATGGAGCAGAAAAAATATTCAAGTGAATGAATTGGGGGAGGGAAAAAATGGCAAGTACAAACACACAAATGCATAAATGTGTATGGTAAAGTAAGGAAAGTATTTTTTTTAATTCATTTCTTTGAACAATAAAGACAAGACCAAATTGTGGTGGAACTGGAAAAGCTTGTTAATAATTTTATACATTATTTATTAAAAAAGAAAAGTTGCTGAAATATTAACTGAACATCCCATGTTTTATGTGAAACCTACTCTAATTCATAGTCACAAACATGAGTTGATTCACAGGGTCAATAAGTAAAACAAAAACACATAAAACCAACAACCAAAAAGTGGTTCAGGCAATATATATCTTAAAGGGAGATGTAGGACTTTATTAAAATTATAGCCACGTGCTAAAGAAAGAGTCAAGATCTGAAGGAAGAAAGTCCTATGGTCCTAGACTAACTAAATCTATCTACTATTGAAAAAAAAGAGCAAGGTCTATGCAGTCTATATAAAGCCAATGTGAAAAAAACTCAAGTTATGGTGCTTTATAGTTTAATATTTTCCATATCTGACAGATAAAACAAATGGTACTCAGAAACACTGGCCCAATAGACTACTCACATTTGCGGAGGTGGGTTGGCACAGCACCCAGAAAAAAGATCACAACTTCCAAAGAGATGTAGTGATCTCTAGATGATTTATGGTTGCTCTGGTATCTCCGTCCTTTACCACTCCTACTCAGAATCAGCAACTCAGACCTTGAATCTGGGAAAGACAAATATTCGTTTTTAAAGACCAACTATAAGAAATAAAAGGACATGTCTGTATTACAACTTGTATCCAAGTGTTAATAATAGCTTTATTTGTCAACAACTGGAAATAATTCAAAATTTTACTTATGATGAATGGACAAACGAGGTGTGCTACATCTATATGATATAATATATAAAACAATAAAAAGGAATAAGCTATTTTTACACATGTGTGACTCTCAAAAGGATTGTGCTGTGTTAACAAAGTCAGACAGAAAAAAAAGTCAATACTGTGTGATTTCATGAATATAAAATTCTAGAAATTGCAAATAATCTCTATAAAAGTAGATCAGTGGTTGCTTAAGGAAGGAAAAATGGAGAGAAGGCAACAATTACAAAAGTACTTGAATTTTTCATCACTTTTAGAAGTGATGGATATATTATATTGACTAGTGATAATTTTGCAGGTATATACATAGATAAACTATTCACCTTAAACATACGCAGTTTGTTGCACGTATATTATACATTAACAAATCTGTTTTTTGTAAAGTCTACTTTTAAAACACATTAAAATCTTAATAATAACCTTTTGGGAGGCAGTGATATTTAACAACTGTACCATTTACACCAGGTCTGAAACACTGGCATCACTAAGCTTTCTTTGAGTTCTTTATGAAAGAGACTGGGGCAGGGGCACCAATTCTGGGACTCAGAGCAGATAGGCCCTATTTTTAATTTTTAGCAATCTAATACTAAAATTTGAAAGCAGATCTTCTCTTTGGAAACACCTCACTGCCTGTTAACTGTCTACATTGCAGACATCACTTTTCTGTGATGAAAAGACTGCAGAGGCCTTACGAAATTAGAACTAAAAGGAGCACAAACACCAGGCTTTAGGAGGCAGGAGATAGCCTTGTCCTTAACCTTCATTCACAATTTGGTCACTTACTTGAGCTCCAGGATCCAGAGAAAATGTCCTTCCAGTTTCTCAGAAAGTTGTTTCCATGTCTGAAGATGATTTAGCAGTGTTCTTCCACCAACAGTCAGTCACAGGCGAACTACAGTCAAAGTAGGCACTCTGTTAACCACGGCTTCCATCTATCGCCTGCCAGTGGAACATTTTCTCTGGCTGATCTGAAATCAAAATCCCTTCATGGAAAAAACAACAGGGTATCTGTTTCATGTATTATAAAATTCATTTGCAGCTACACCTTGCATCACCCAAAAGGATTCTGTGCTGTGTTTGCCTGAGACATGTCCCAACAAGACACGCCTTAGTCTGAGATGATATCTGAGTGCAGGAGTCTTTCTATATGCATTTTCCCTGGATCTTTCCCCGGAGTCACGAGAATGCTGGGACAAACCTAAGGGGAATTCTTGCTCTTGTTAACAGTGATATGTCCTTCATGTTACCTTCGTAAACACAATTTAGTTTCATCTTACCCATCTGCCCCAAATGAACACTCTTTTCTATGTTGCACACCAGTGCTGTTTTCCTCCTGAAAACCATATTCCATTCAATTTAGAGAAGAGCACAAAACAAGAACCTGGGAAGTAATATTCCAAGCTCTTTCAAATTAATCAAACACTGGAATTTTAAAACCAAGAGGAACCTGGATCAAGTTTAGGTAGTCTGTGCTGGAAATGATCAACTCTGAAAAGAGGCTTTGACAGACCACTACTACCACAAAGTACAGATGTAAAACAAGGCCTACTGAGGACAGAGTTTACAAGCTGATAAGTAGAAGACTATAGGCAGACCTCTGGATTCTCTGTATTCCAGGAAAAGCTGTGCTTAGGCCAGACATGGTTGGACTGCAGGTTCAGGGCCAGTGTTTCATGGAGAGGAACTCCTTGCTGTTGTAATGCTCTACTTTTAAGGAAATAAAAGTAAGAAACATTTACGTGACTCTAAAACAAAAGCGGCTCCAGTATCAAAGGAATGATTAGTCTTACACTGTTTGTTATGCTAACTCAAACCTACTGAGCTATCTCTCTGCTGAACTACTGAAAGGGAGGGTTGGAAGTAAGCCCCCAGGGCCATCTAGATTTCCTCAGTACCTCTGTGACACTTGAAGGTTCAGTGCATATTCCTTTTCATTGTAATTCACTGCCTGCAGGAATAGCAAAAGGCTGTTTAGAGGGCAGTCCTCTATATTTGTAATAAGAAAAAGACACATAATCACCCTAAAAATAGGAGTACTGAAAGCTAACCAAATTCTGTCAATTATTCCTCCCTTCCCTGGAATTTAGCAGAACTAATCCATTCTTGGACAGATTGGAAATTTGAATAGGTATCCAGAAGTTTCTATTCTTTCTTCAGATAAGCTTTAGAATTACCTAACAATTTGTAGTTTTAAAAAGACTTGCTGGGATTTTGATTGAACATCATTGTGTTGGGAAATATCCTGTCTGGTTTCAGAAGCTATAACCCGCCATGGCTAAGGCTGAGTGAGTGACCTTCTGACCGTAAGCCACTAAGAAGACAAAGCTTATCTCCCTGTCAGGATCACCACTTCTGCTCCTTTTATTTCATCCATAACTGGCCCCCAATGCTTGATCAGTTAGCCAAAGACAGGTAAGATTCCCCAAGGGGGGAATGATCACACGGAGTGTGATCTAAGACAGGCATGATCACACGGAGTCCCCAGGGAAGGACTTGGAGGGCTATAGCAAAAGGGGGTGATGGACCCTCGCCCCTTGGCTTTGACATAGCTTGAGTCCTCATTCTGTCTGTGAGAATTCTCCTAATCTCTTGGCTGCCTTACTTCCCCTGCCTGATTTAAGCCTGAAACAATGACAGTGGGTGATGCATCCCTGTGCTGGAAAGGGTGGGTCCCCTTGGTGATCAGGCCTGAGAAAGAATACATAAACTCCTATGAAACCTGCTTTGCTAAGAATGCTCTCAATTAAATGATAAGGGTCAGGGTTCATTTCCCAAAGTTTTGTAGCCCTTTAGCTAACAGACCCTTACTCAGAATAGGCCCTCAGAGTTCTTTGTGTGTTATCCATTGTTTGATCCTTACTGCCTGACAATGATTAATGAGCTTTACCTGTATTCCTGTGCAAAATGAACCTAATAAAAGCCCACTGAGGAAAAAGCTCTTGGCCATTCTCCTTTGAGAGATCGGCCACCTTTCCTCCCCAAGCAGATCATGTCTTGGTAGACTTATTCTCATCCGCAGTGGCTGGGAGGGGGGCCCTGAGGGCAGAACCCCCCCACACCATTGATCTATTGAGACTTCTAATCTATAACTATAGGTATTGACTAATCTACTTAGCTAATCTTTAATGTATCAGCTTATTAGCAATTATAGTAACATTTTGTTAGACATTAGGAGGTTCCCCTTTCTGTAAACCACATGGTTAAGTGCTGTCTTAGATTAGGTTATGGGAAACTGACTCTAAGATTGTATTCAGGGAATTTATAGGTTATATGCTTGGAATCAACACCAGTGGTCAAGTGAAAGAAGTAGCATTTAGTAGGAGGGGTTGTTGACCTGTAATGAAGCAACACCAAAGTTTGCTCTGTGAGCTTCTGTAGCTCGACTGGTGTAATGGCTGAGATCTCATTCCTGAAGTGTGAAAGACCTTTATCACCATGACCTTCTCAGGCCATAGATGTTACATTTTCCCATTTGTTGTTAATATTTGTTTGACAAGGGGAATTTCACAGAGGCAAGAGGGAGCTTTTGGAACCAAGTTACGGAAAAGTTCTACATCTAAATGCAGCAGTGGCTACATGTTATACATTTTTAAAAATGCTTCAAACTACCTTAAATGGCCACATTTTACTGTATGTAAATAATATTTTAATAAAGTTTATTTTTTTAATTGAGAAATGAGGCCCCAATAGATCATCTGGGTGTCAAACTATGCGAATTATACACAACTATATTTAAGTCTTTGTAGAAATCACTCATAAAACTTAATGGTTTATATTCACAGAACAGCTTTATTACACAGCATAGAACAGTAACAGCAGAAGATTATGCATTAAGCAGG